GTCATCCTAAGCTACTTGGGAGGCTGAGATCCAGAGGATTATGATCCCAGGCCAAAAAAAAAGTTCTTAAGACCCCCATCTCAATGGAAAAAAGCTGGGCACAGTGGTGCATGCTGTCATCCCAGCAATTGCGGGAAGATTACAGGCTGGCCTGAGCAAAAAGCAAGACCCTATCTCCAAGATAACCAGAGAAAAAGGGCTGGAGAACTCAATAAACAGCAGTTCCCACTCTCTGTGGTGCTTACAAGTTTTTTTGGTTTGTTTTTTGCCATACTGGTGGTTGAATGTAGGGCCATGAACATGCTAAGCAATTTCTCTTACCACTTGAGCAACACCCTCAGCCCATTTGTTTTTGAGCTGGTCTTACTAACTTCCTGGGCTGGGCTGGAACTTGAGATCCTCCTGCCTCTGCCTCCTGAGTAGCACAACCACACCCAGCCTCTGGTACTCTTCCCTATTCACCCCTGAGCGGTGGGTACTGGTTGTGGTGGTACATATCTGTAATTCCAGCACTCCTGAGGCAGAGGCAGGAGGATGGCAAGTTTGAGGCTAGCTCAGGCTACATAAGCCAGTATGAGGTACATATTGAGACCTTGTCTCAAAAAACCAAGGGCTGGCAATGTAGCTCAGTGACAGTGCCTATGTACAAGGCCCTGGGTTCAAGCCCCAGCACAACAAAAACAAAACAAACAAAAATGAGTGACAGACCCCCTTTAAGAATTCTTAACCTAAAAAGTATGAGGAAAAAAAAGAATTCTTAAACTGTATACACAAATTCAGAATGTTCATAGGCCTCTGCTGACATCTGGGATGAAAACAATCCAGCAACTCAGTCAATGGTTCCTTCCTTCCCTTTCCCTCCCCTTCCCTGTTTTCTTTTCCTTTCAGTTCCTTCAGTTCCAGGCTAGCTGCCTTTGGCTCACACTTCAGCCCAAGGGCATTCTCAGCAAAAACCACACCCATATTCTTAGTTTCCAGGGTCTGGTGTCACTTAAGTTTCCTCCACATCAGATTCCTTCATTTGTAAAATAGGCAGTGGGGGTTGACTACAATGACATTGGGAGAGAGCATTTTGCCAGTTGTTTTCACATCATCTCATTTAATCTGTGCCATGCTGGGAGGTAGTGCCTACCAGGTTCCTGGCAGTGAATTTATGGATAGCTCACAATAGCGGAAGAGACTCCAAAACTATGAACCACCTAATAAGGTCCTTTCAATTGTGCTAAGTGCTCTAACCAAAATAAAACAAGATGAAAAGCTAAGGGAAGGCACCTGGATACACTTTTGGTAAATTTAGGAAGTTTAAAAGTATCAAATTATACTTTTTTTTTTTTGAGGTTCTGGGCCTCTGCTTTGCTAGGCCTACTTGAGCTACTCTGCCAGCCCTACTTGTTACATTGTTATTTTTTTTCTTTTCTTTTTTTGCCTCCTGCACACTTAAGCATGCACTCTATCACTGAGCTGCACCCTCCCTGCTTTTTTACTTTTATAATAGCTTTTTATTTTTTTCCTGGAAAATAGAGATTGTCAGTGAACTGCTCTCCTAGGGCGCTGGAGAACACTGCAGTTCATCCTCTTTAGTCAAAGAGCTTTAGAGTACCAGGTGCCAGTAGCTCACACCTGTAATCCTAGCAATTTGGGAGGCTGCGATCTGGAAGATCGTGGTTTGAGGCCAGCCCGGGCAGATAGTTTGCAAGATCCCACCTCCAAAATAACCAGAGTAAACTGGACTGGAGGCTCAAGCAGTAGAGTACCTGCTTTACAAGTATGAAACCCTGAGTTCAAACCTCAGTCCTACCAAAAAAATTAGAGTCTCAGAGTGCATTTAGGTCTGTTATCCTTTCATTGCTGGTGGGAAGTTTAATCCAGTTTCAAGACATTCTGAGAGGTGTGGATTTTGAATCTTGGACACCACTCTCTGGAGCTGGCAGTCTCCACTTTCATGACTCCACTCTAGGAGGGCAAATCTAGTGTGTGAAACCCATCCCTTAGGAAGGTGCTATTCCTAAGTAAATAACCAACTGGACATGTTTGAAGGATGTGAGACAAAGATGAATGTAGTCAATTCAGAGACCTGAGTCAGTTGGAGAACAGTGACCACAACTGTATAAAACAAAACAGCCAGATGAAGAATTTTTATCTTGCATTACAGAAGAATACAGTATTTCCTTTACCAAGATGATGTGTTTTCATAACAATTGCTTTTTCAAGACTACTTTATGCCAGTTATTTAACAGATTGATGGGTCTTATAAGAAGTCTAGAAAGTAGGGTGAAACAGTTTCAGTGAGTTTAGGCACCTTGATTAGGAGCCCAGGTTAGTGTGGGCACTGGGAACCCAGGTTCTGATACCCAGCCCTGTGCTCTTTACTTCTACTATCCAGGCAACCTCAGATGCTGACTACTTGCTAAGATACAGTGGCAGAGCCCAGGTTAGGAGAGGCCTAAGGAGAAGGGAGACCTCCTCAAACTAGTGTGTCTCTCAACACGAAGTCTGTCCAACCCAAAGTCATTTTAACATCCTAGAAAAGGGCTTCTTTCTGTTGTTTGAGAACAAGGTGGTTGATTCCTTATTATTTTTTGTTTTTATTTGTCTTCCAGTGCTTCAAATCATCCTAAAACCAGCCTGTCTAGGATTGCTGTTTTCCAAAATTAAAATGGTCTTAAGTTACTTTCATTATGAAAGTGGACCATACTTGTTGCAAAAACTCAAAAGTGTACAAAGCAGAAATGAGTGTCTCCCCCTGCCTATCAATCTCCCCAGTGTAGCCTTAAACATGCTCTCAGGGCAGAATAAGACAATTATTTTTCTGGCTGGAGAGCCCCTCTCAGGTTGTCAGATGAAAATCTGGCTAGCCTTAAGTTTAATAATCAGTTCAGAAAGTTTGGTTAGCAAACTTTCATTGAGTATCATCTGACTTTTTAAAAAAACCAGTCAATGACATATATATAATTAACGTCTGATTGAAGAAGTTATATATTCAAATGTAAGGGTACTTTGTAGGTAGCCCTGACTCAGGCTAACATAAATGGGACAGGAAGCAGTGCACCTATTCCAGAATCTACCAGCCCCCTGCATTGTTTCTTTTCATTTTGGTTGTTGAGATCTCCCTGGGTAACATTTGCACAATGTTCCAAGTGTCCAGTGTATGCGCCAGGCCAATTAGTCAGCAATTCTGCTTCAAGAATCGGCCCATGTTACACCAGTGCTTCATTTTCAAAACAAGAAATTTAAAGGGTGAAAACTGTGCAGAGGAGGAGACTCTAGGGCTGGGGCTAGAATCCAGTGCCTTTTCCGTTACACCACGTGATTAAGTCTTAAGGCACCAAGTGGGTGGTCATTAATCTTGCATGGGCTTTTTGTTTTGTTTTGTTTTCCCCTTCAGCTGGAGATGGAGACCAGGCCTCCTACATGCCAAGCAAGTGCTCTACCGCTGAGCTATAGCCTCTGGCCTTGCTTGGGCTTTTCAACCCAGTGCTGATTACATAGTCTGGATTATGCTACACAGCAGACATTCAAAATTGGATAGGCACTGCACTTGCTAAATCAATAGCCCAGTGACAAGACAGATAAACACACTGATGATTTATTTATACTCTGACAAGGGTCACTTGCTGAGGGAGGGGATGTGGTAGGGAGGGCTCCCCACATAGAATGAATGGATGTTCATTTGAAGAAACAACTCATGGGTTATTTGTTTGTTTGTTTTCTTCCAGAGCCTGGTGGTGGGAGAGTCTCTGGGTTTCCTTTCTATGGGGGAAGAGTTTAGACCAGTTGCATTATTAATTTGCTGCTGGAGCCCAAATTAGGATCTAACCTAATCAAACAAGATAATCAATACCAATATGTGTTCAACGACTTAGTGTTCAACTGCTTAGTTGTGACTTTTAGTACTAACAATAGGAATAGTAAAATTTCTTTTACTAAATAGTAAATTTTAGTGTTTCTAGGATGAAGGTAAGTGGCCTTGAGCTGTTCTGATTTAGGACAGACTGCTTATGGGTAGGTCATCAGAAGAAACAGCTATTCATTCATTCATTCATTCATTCATTCAGTACTTGATGCCTTTGGCCAGACACTGTTGCAGAGGGGGGCAAGGCATTATTGCCTCAGAAGCTAAGGTATTTGTTTGATTTCTGATAAATCCTCTTCTCTCTCAGGATCTTCATATCTTAACCTATTCACAGTGGACCTACACTTTTTTTTCTCTTTCTCTCTCTCTTGCTCTTTTTTTTTTTTTCAGTGCTGGGGCCTCAACTCAAGGCTAACACTTTGAGCCACTCCACCAGCCTTTTTTTGTGATAGGTATTTTCGAGATAGGGTCTTGTGAACTATTTGCTGGCTTCTAACCGCAATTCTCCTCATCTCTGCCTCCTGAGTAGCTAGGATAACAGGCATGAACCACTGGCGCCGGGCTTCTCTCTTTTTTGAGACGGGGTCTGATGTGTGGCCCAGGCTGGCCTCCAACTCGAGATCCTCTTGACACAGCCTCCTAATGCTGAGATCACAAGCGCGGAGCCCATGCCCCACACTTCTGTCATCACCTGCAAGTTTATTTGGTCTCCCTGAGCTCAGGTTCCTCATCTGTAAAGTGGGTCTACTGTAATTTGCTTCATATTGAGGCTGGAATTAAGATAGACCAGCTACTGGCACAAAGTGCGTTCACTTTAGGGTAGTGCCGCCATAGGTGCTGCTGATTCTGGAGCCAAGCAGACCCTCAGGTGTTAATTAGGATGTGGGCCACGGCTCCTGGCCCGGAGGAGAGGAGAAGGGTTTATTAGCCGTGGGTCTGGCGCTGAGGCCTCATTCCGTCCTGGACTCTTCACGGGCGAGGTCCTCCGGGCTTCGGCTGGGCTCCCCGCGGACCCGAGGCTGCCGGTGGCCGCGTCCGAGCCCGGATCCCGGGTCGCGAGCGGCCGGGCGGGGCTGGGGACGGCCGGGTGGGGGCGGAGCCTGCGGCCGCCCGGCCCCCCGCGCCCGCGCCCCCCGTGCCCCCCCAACCGAGGCCCGGAAGGGGCCAGTCGCGCTTCCGTCTCCGCCGGGGCCGCACAGAGGGCGGAGCTGCGGCCCGAGGACGCGACGCGAGCCCAGTTCCGGCGAGGAGGCCGCGCCAGTGACAGCGATGGCGGCGGAGTCGGCGCTCCAAGTTGTGGAGAAGCTGCAGGCGCGCCTGGCCGCGAACCCGGACCCCAAGAAGGTGAGCGGCGGGCTGCGGGGAGCGGGCGGGCGGGCGTTGGGCGCGGCGCGGGCCCCGTAACGGTCGCGGGCCGGTGCGGCTCGGACCCGAGGCAGGCCCCGCCGGGCTCGCGGGCTGCGGCGTGGAGTTGGCGGCCTTGGACCTCGCGGGCCGGGCCGCGGCGCCCTGCGGCCCCGAGCAGCTGTTGGCTGCCCGCCGCCCGCAAACCGGCCCGGTGTCTGCGTGGCGCTGCTGCGGGGTGGGAGCGGAGCCGCCGCCGCTGCTCGCGCGTGGCTTCCCGGCCTGGTGCGAAGGTGGACGCGTCGCCCTCTCTCCCGGTCCCTTTCACAGCGTCGCGGAATAAAGCCTCGGCCCCGAGCTCTGCGCCCAGAAACTGGGGGTGTAACGGGGGGAGAAGTTGTGGTCAGATACCTGTGACCTCTGGAAGGCCGGAGCTGCCGCGTCTCGGCCCCAAGTGATGGGCAACATTTTAGTTGTTAACTAGTTCTTGTTGCTTCTTTTAGATACTGTTTCCTTCAGCTCAGCGTGTTCTTCTCCCTCCCCGTCTTTCTGCTACCCGGCTTCTCCGCTGTCTGTCTCTAGGAGTGTGTCTTGTGCGTGTTAGAATTGTCTTCCTTGAAGTATTTTGGTGACAACACCGAAGGGTGTGACACTCTCTGTCAGCATTTTAGCCAGAGTATGCGGTTCCTAAAAGGTGAATCTCAGGACTCTGAAGAGGAAGTAATGGAGGGAGGCAGTGGCGACAAAGTGGTGACAAAATGTGGGTCCCATTCCATTCACCAGCTGTAGACTTGGAGATCTTTGCTGAGCCTGTCTCCTCCTGCTTCTTCCTGAAGGGTCAGCAGGACCCAAGTGCCCAGTACCTGCTAATGGGCATTTTCCAGAATTTTTCTTGGAGGACCCCTTTCACTTTACCTCGTTCTTAGCCTGTTACAGGCAGCTTTCACCTTTGCAGAGGAAACACACAGCCTTTCCCCATCAGACTGCTTTTTAACTCCCCTCATTCATACCCAGCTCAAAGGTCCACTTTTCAGAAAGCTGTGTTAGTTATAAATCTGTGACAACTTAAATGCTTCCAGTTGTGTTAACGTTTTCTATTGAGGCTTCAGTACCTAGTGTCCAGGCATATTTATAAATTTCTTTCTACAGTAACCCTTTGTGGACATCTAATAAATGGTCATTATTTCTGAGTATCAGTTTGTCTTTCTGAGCGTTGTAAGATTTGTGACTGATTTTTAAAATCACATAAAGTAATTTTATGTAAATCTGTCAGTTTTATGCAGCATCTCAAGTAATTTTTTCCACCAGAACTTAAATTTTGAAGTAGCTTTTCTAGTAGTTGTTAGAAATAAAGCTCAAGTAGATTTAGTTGAACTATTAGTGATTTCTTTTTTCTTTTTTTAGTGAAAATGATAGCAAGGTGTATTAGAAAAGGAATACTCTTTCAACAGACTGAAAGCGAGTTGTCTCAGAAGGGGAAGTCCATCCAGAACCAGAATGACCAGTGATTTTTTAAATTTTTTGTGGTACTGGAGTTTGAACTTAGGGCCTACACCTTGAGCCACTCCACCAGCCCCCTTTTTTTGTGTGATGAGTTTTTTCTAGATAGGGTCTCACAAACTATTTGCCTGGGCTGGCTTTGAACCTTGATCCTCCTGCTCTCTGCCTCCTGAATAGCTAGGATTACAGGCATGAGCCATTGGAGCCTGGCTAAAAAAATGTTTTAAGCATTTGGGATTTCTCTTCCCAGATAGAAAATCACTCAACGGCTCGGGGTGTGGCTTAGTAGCAGAGTGCTTACCTAGCAGGCATGAGGCCCTTGGTTTCCATGCCCAGCACTGAAAAAGAAAAGGAAAAAAAGTCACCCTAAACTTCTGACCTTGCACTGTGAAGTGAGCACTATGCAGATGAGAAAATGTTGGGAGATGGTTTTTTCAAAGGACATAATAGCTGGCATTCAGAAATGAGAGGGAAAATTGCAAGCTGGCACACTGGCCTTCTTCCTCTCAACCTTCTGTTAACCCAACAAGCTCCCACAGGTTATTCTTAAAATTGCAAGATGATTATAGAGCAGTATTGAATTTGCAACCAAATCTTGCTTTCAAACCATTATTAGCCAAAGGGTTGATTCCACACCTGTGTTCATGAACCTTCTGGTATTAAAGATTGGTGTTCAAGTGTTACCAACTGTTTTCATTTATGATCTCACTTACTTGGGAGAACAGGTATCAGGAAGAGCAGAGCCATTTGGCTTATGTTCCTACTACTGAATTGGAAATTATTTTCATGGTTGATAAAGTTACCTGTCCTGTGTTACATTCTGAATGTGAAAATTACCAAGAACACTGATTGATGGCAGGTGGAGAACTAGGGCGTCACCCATGAGTATATTTTTGCTTTTTGGGTTGAAGTATAGAAAACAACCGAGATTCTTAAGCCTGTTACTGTGCACGTTTGATGTTCCTCAGTCGTCTGTTATCAGTGCTCACAAGCTGTACACGTGAGACCTTGGTTTGATAACAGCAACTTTCTCCCTACCTGAGGATACCCAGAGTGTCTTGTTATTACTTCATACTTTCTTGGAATTTACTGAAAATCATGGGGCTTGTGAAGTTTTTTATTCCCCTCCCCCCACCCTTATTTTAGGCCAAATCAGTCTGAAGATTTTGAGTTTTAGTTTTGTCTGGTTAAGTCACTCATTCATAACCCAAAGTGAAGCAGAAAGGCAGCATTTACTTTTCCAGTTAGTGCTAGACTTTGAGATAAACACGCTCTCTGTGACTTCTGGCCCCATCCTTCTAAGTTGGCTTTGTAGAGGTCCTGGGACTCTTTGTTCCCTTGGTGACCTCCTTTACCATGTGGACTCTAATCTGTCAAATAGCATAACACTGAGGAGGCTGCTCTGCTTTGTTTCAAGCATGCAATCAGTTGTATTGCAGGCATTTGTTATATTTTCTTTTCCTATGGACAGTGCTTCTCAGCTTGTTAGGCAACTTACCAAACCTCACTGAGCTCAATTTCAATATCTGTAAAAGGAGGCAAATAATAAACACTTTACAGTGAGGGTCAAATGAGGTAGCACATGGAAGAATTTAGCATAGTACACACAATGGACGATATGTAAGTACACCGCTTTAGAGAATCACATTAGGGGAGAATGACCTGTTTAAAACCTTTTCAGTGTTTATAAATTTCCCTGTAAGAAAAGAAATTGGTATTAATCTTTGTACCTGTACCTTGAGTGACAAAAAATACACATACAGCCAGGTGTGGTGGCATATGCCTATAATCCCAGCACTTGGGAAGTTGAGGCAGGAGGATCAGAAGATTAAGGCCAGTCTGGGCTACATAGTGAGACCCTATCTCAAAGACAGAAAGAAACAAGCCAGGTGCTGGTGGCTCAATCCTGTGATCCTTGATACTCAGGAGGCAGAGATCAAAAGGATCACAGTTCAAAGCGAGCCCAGGCAAATAGTTTTCGAGACCCTATCTTGAAAAAAATTCATCACAAAAAAAGGGCTGGTAGAGTGGCTTATAATGTAGGTCCTAAGTTCAAACCCAGTACTAAAAAAAAAAAAGAAAAGAAATACGCAATTTTTCCAGAGTTGGATTATAGTGGAGTTTGAAGTAGAGGAAAATTTTCTCTCAACTACTCCCCAGGTACACTACTTGGCCTCTTACTTATTCCCAAACAAGATTATCACCTTTGTTCCACTTGCTTTGCTTAGTGACCACGTTAAGTAATTATGGAGGTAGAATGACCTGAAAAACATACATGTTACTCTGCCTGTTAGCAACATAGCATATCAATTATAGCCTGGGCTACAATGGCCAGAGGACAGTTCTTATCACCTAATAGTTAAAGGTAGCCACAGTTATCTATTGAACTACTTGTACTTTGCAGCACTCCTTGTATGGTAAGTATGCATGTAAACATTTCCTAGAGAAAGGCTTAGCCAGTCTTGACTTTTGGCAGAAATAGAGTAAGTAGGAATTGGCTGAGCAACTTCTGGTTGAGGATTAAGGGGAGAACATTTGAAGAGCTGTCAGCTCATGAATGAAATGATTGTGACAAGCATGTTGAGCTTTTATAATGCTGCAGACACTGTGACTAAGTGCCACACATTGTTTGTCTTGGCAAATCCTTACAGCTTGTGATGTGGAGACAGGATCCAGTTTCTTATTCTGCAGATGAAGTAACTGAGGTTCAGAGAGGTTACTGACTTGCACAAGATCACCTGGCAAGAAGGTGACAATCTCTCTGACTCTGGAACTCCATTTTAGCAACTCTGCCATATCAATTTTGACCTAGTTTTATGTACTACAGAAAGGAAATGTGGCCAAACCCAGTCTCCTTTCTAATCTACCCAGGCATGTTGTGTTCATCATTAACAGCAAAACTCTGATTCTGGCAACTCAGAATTGCTCTTGACTGTCCACTCATTGAAAAGCTTCTGCTAAGCACTGTAGTCCTTCTGGAAACCCAGTTCTCTCTTCCTATAAAGGCCTCTTCTCCTTTCCTCTGCTGGGTCCATGGGAAATTTCCCTAAAGTTGGTTACTTTTCCCATGAATCTCGGTCACAACTGGAGCAGACTGACAGTTACTAATGACTTTTAGCAAAGTTAAGAGGGTTTTGATTGTCCTCTCTGTGTCTTCCTTTTTCTTGATGTGGCAGAGCAATTGAAAGTATGGAGTCTAAAGCCATAGATTTTAGTGAATCTTGCCCGTGTGTATCCTGGGGCTAATAACAAAGCTTTTCCCAGCCTGTTCTTCCACTTATGAAATAGCACTAGTAACCATACTCCTTACTGTAAAATGCATAGCACTGAGTGAGCATTTTTATGTGTTTATTTATTTTTGCAGTACTGGGGTTTGAACTCAGGGCCTCACCGTTGATAGGCCAGCACTCTTCCACTTGAGTCACTCCACCAGCCCCGTTTTGTGTTGGTTATGTTTTGAGATAGGGTCTCTCAAACTGTTTGCCTGGTCTGGGTTTGAATCAGATCCTCCACATCTCTGCCTCCTGAGTAGCTAGGATTATAGGTGTGAGCCACCAGCACCTGACTTGAGTGAGCATTTAACCATCAGATATTGAATGGATGATTATGACTTTATAGAAATTAATGTTTGCTTTGCTTTATTCTCTCTGCAGTTATTGAAATATTTGAAGAAACTCTCCACTTTGCCTATTACAGTAGACATTCTTGCGGTAAGAATTGTGTAACTTTAAATATTATTTGACTATATCCCTACCCTTTGCACTAGGGAGAGTGTAGAGGAAGATTTACAGGATGGACTTTGGAAGTGAAAGAAACCAGACACAAAAAGCTACAAACGATATGATTCTGTTTGTTTGAAATGTCCCGAATAGGCATATCAGTAGGCAGAAAGTGAATGAGTGGTTGCTAGGGGCAAATGTTCTGGAATTAATGGTAAGGGCTGCACAATATTAGGAGTGCTTTGAAAATCACTGGATCATATACTTTATAATGGTTCAGTTGTGAATTTTATGTTATTAGACTTTTTGTTATTTAGACTTTTTGATGTGCAAACCTAGGATGTTGCACATGCTATGCAACTGAGCTATATCCCTATCCCTATTATGTGACTTTTATTTCAAAATTAAAAAAACAAAACAAAAAAAAGAGCTGGGCACCAGTGGGTCACGCCAGTAATCTTAGCTGTCTACTCAGGAGGCAGAGATCAGGAAGATCACGGTTTGAAGCCAGCCTGGGCAAATAGTTCACGAGACTCTTATCTGGAAAATACAAATCACAAAAAAAGGGCTGGTGGAGTGACTCAAGGTGTGAGCCCTGAGTTCAAACTCCAGTGCTACAAAGAGACAACACTGGCTTGGCATCTACTGGTTTTGTATTCAAATCCATGTTCTTTGACTTTAGGATATGCTTCTGTTCGATGAGGCTGATTCCTGCCTTGAGGATTATTGTAAAGACGGATTCAGATGCTGTCTGTAGAGCCCTTAGCTCTGTGCCTAAAATCATCACTCTTGTTATATTGTTAAAGTTCTGCAAGTGTTTTAATGACATGCTTCTCTGAATTTGTATGTGTTTTTACTCTGTCATTAGAGATTTGGACCTAGGCAACAAAGTAATTTAGTATTGAAGCTTGCAAGGTATGTAGAAAGAAAGTATTGCTTATTTCCAAGAGGCTGTACTTCTTTAGAAAAATGTGAGTTTAGTTCCATAACCCTCAATCCGTTCCTTTGTTAATTTTGCAGGAGACTGGGGTCGGGAAAACAGTAAATAGTTTTCGAAAGCACGAGCAAGTGGGAACCTTTGCCAGGGACCTAGTGGCCCAGTGGAAGAAGTTGGTTCCTGTGGAACGGTAAGAACATTTTTTATTTATTTATTTATTTATCTATCTATCTATCTATTTATTTATTTATGGCTCAGGTTTGAACTCAGGGCTTTACCCTTGCAAATCAGACACACTACCATTTGAGCCACACCTTCAGTCTGTTTTGCTCTGGTTATTTTGGAGATGGATGTCTCTAGAAAATTTGCCTTGGCTGACCAGAAGCCATGATCCTCCTGATGTCAGCCTCTTGAGTAGCTAGGATTACAGGCATGAGCCACCAGTACCCAGCTGACTTTGTTTTCTGAACAAGGATTACACTGATATTTATATCTGCTTTTATTTTAGAAACAATGAGACTGAAGAACAGGACTTTGAGAAGAGCAATTCGCAAAAGCGCCCTCGGGATGCTCTTCAGAGAGAGGAAGAAATGGAGGAGGATTACCAAGAAAATTGGAAAGCCTCTGGCAGCCAGTCCTACAGCCCTGATCATAGACAGAAAAGACACAAAAAACTCTCAGAGCTTGAAAGGTCTCACAAAGTATCTCACAGTCATGAGAGGAGAGATGAGAGAAAGAGGTGTCACAGAGTGTCACCAACATATTCTTCAGACCCTGAATCTTCTGACTATGGCCATGTTCAGTCCCCCCCATCTTCTGCCAGTCCTCATCAGATGTACATGGACCATTACAGGTCCCCAGAAGAGGACCATGAGCCCATTGTTCCACACCAGAAGCCTGGAAGAAGTCACAGTAATGCCTTTCAGGACAGACTAGGGGTCAGTCAGGAACGGCACCTGGGTGAACCCCAGGGGAAAGGGGTTGTGAACCAAAACAAGGAGCACAAATCTCCCCATAAGGAAAAACGCCCTGTGGATGCCAAGGGTAATGAGAAAGCCTCAACTCTGGGCAGAGAGAAGTCACACAAGACCCTCTCCAAAGAGGAAAACCGAAGGCCACTGTCAGGGGACAACACCAAGGAGAAACTGCCCTCCAGTACTGTGAAGAAAGAAAAGGAAAGAGAAGGCAGCAGTCTCAAGAAGAAGTTTTCATCTGGCATGGAGGTTGCTTCAGACAACCACCTTAAAAAACCAAAACTCAAGGACTCAGAGAAAACCAAATCTGACAGAAACAAGCAGCGTGTAGATGGTGTAGACTCCAGAAAAGGGGTGGGAGACCTGTTGCCCAAAGCAAAAGAAAAGGTTTCTAACAGTTTAAAGGCTGAAGAAGGGAAAGTGAAAGCTTGTAATTCAGGCAGAAAGTCACTGGGCTGGGCGCCTAAAGAAGAGGAGGCTGGCATGGATGATGAATTTGAGCAGCCCACCATGTCATTTGAATCCTACCTCAGCTACGACCAGCCCCGGAAGAGAAAGAAGAAGGCTGTGAAGAGCTCAGCCACAGTACTCGGAGAAAAAGGACTTAGAAAAAGTGAATCTAAAAGCACTACTAAGAACTTGAACCCAGCTCAGAAATTACCCAAGGTGAATGAAAACAAGTCAGAGAAGATGCAGCTGGCTGGACCTGATTCAGCCAGGCCAAGAAAGGTAACCTCTTCAGCTTGGCAGTGGCTGCCCACTCAGGGCATCTGGCCGCAGAGCACACAGGTCTGCCTGCCACTCTGCTCCTTGGCTTGCTTGTGCGTGTCCTGTGTATTTTGAGTTTGTAATCATTTTCTCCAAGTGTCACTACCTGCAAAGTGCTTGTCTAGTGTGTGTGAGGCTCTGGGTTCAATCCCCAGCACCTCAAAAAAATGTATTTCCCTTGAGGTGTCCCACTGTCATGGCTCCATCTGTATTTACTTCCTTACTTAGAAAATGGTGTCATTCATGACTACAGCCCCACTCTTACCTGGATCTGTCATTAGGAATCTATAGGAAAGAAAGCTATACTTGTAGAAAGGGGCTCAGCATTCGTTGTCTGTCTTACAGGTCCTCATGGACGCGTTGCCAGTGTTGCCAGACCTCTCATTACCCACAATACAAGCCAATTACCGTCCACTTCCTTCCCTCGAATTGATGTCCTCTTTCCAGCCAAAGCGAAAAGGTGATTTTCTAAAAAAAATTTTTTTTTTTTTTTTTGGTACTAGGATTTGACCTCAGGGCCTACTACGCCTTGAGCCACTCCACCAGCACTTTTTTGTGTTGGGTATTTTCAAGATAGGGTCTCAAGAAGTATTTGCCCAGACAGGCTTGGAATTGTGATCCTCCTGATCTCTGCCTCCTGAGTAGCTAGGATTATAGGCATGAGCCACCAACCCCCAGCCTTTCTGTATCCTTTTTTAATTTTTAACAGTACTAGGGTTTAAACTCAGGCACTCTAACACTTGAGCCACTCTGCCAGCCCTACATCTTTCTTTTTTTTTTTTTTAAATAGGGAAAAAAATTAAAATTTCATTCACAGTTTGTCATCATAACATGGTTATCATGATGTCAGATTTTGGGTGCGTTTCCTGTGAGTACAGGCTGGAGTTTGATGGCTTGGATTGAATTCCAACAATGGTTTCTACAAGTTATGTAGCACAGTGTAATTTCTTAGTTTCTTTGAACATCAGTTTCATATTCTGTAAATGGGAATGATAGTATTTGCTTCATAGGGTTAAGTGAATTTAAAAGTAGTAATGCTAGGAAAGCTTTTAGCTCCAGGTTTTTCATACAGTAAGTATTTAATAACCTTAGCTGCTGCTGTGATTACCAGCAGATTACCATTCTGTGTATTATATGTGTTTTTATCTTAAAAGAAAAATGTTTACTAGTTTTCATAGCAAAAGAATAAAGCCATGTACAGATCCATTATCAGGAAACTAACAGATAAATCATGGATTAACCACATGGTGACTTCCTTTGCCACTGTAAATGTGGAAAATTTTTATGCTGGCAGGGGGTGATCTCTAAAATGTAAATGAAAAAAGTGATATGGATAGTGAATATGTTACTAATTGGTTTGAGGAGAAATAAGACACACATTTTCTTATTTTTGCAGTCTCTGGAAGAATCCACAAGGAACTGGTAGCATTGGTTGTCTTTGAGAAAGGGAAGGAGGGGATGTGGCCAGGATGGCTTCAACATTATGGCTTAGCGGTTGTGTGACCTTCTTTCTGTTTTTTCTTGTCCTGTAGCATTCTCTTCACCCCAGGAAGAAGAAGAGGCTGGATTCACTGGACGAAGAATGAATTCCAAGATGCAGGTGTACTCCGGTTCCAAGTGCGCCTACCTCCCTAAGATGATGACCTTGCACCAGCAGTGCATCCGTGTACTTAAGAACAACATCGACTGTAAGTCACCGCCTCTCTCAGCACTGTGTCACACGGAGACCTCGCCACTGACAGGTTTGGCTGCTATTCAGTGCTCTCATCTCTGGTTTCTCTGCAGCAATTTATGAAGTGGGAGGAGTCCCTTACTCTGTTCTTGAACCCGTCTTGGAGAGGTGTACACCTGATCAGCTATATCGCATAGAGGAATGCAATCACGTGAGTGTCCTGTCTGGGTGGGAAGAGGGCAGTTTTCTGGCTGTGTTCTTCAGAAGTAGCTTGTTTCTAGGGTTGGGGGTGGTGCTCAAGTGCTAGAACACGCCTACCTAGCAAGCTCTAGTCCCTGAGTTCAAACCCCAGTACCACCAAAAACATAAGGAGTAGCTTTGTCTCTGGATCTGCCATGGCTAAAGCACAGATCAGAGGTCACATCACTGTTGCGGGCACATTTGGCTTGCCTTGGGGCCTTCAGATAAGCATAGTTACAGCACCTGCTCCTGGCTTCTTAAGCAGGCCTCTTGGGCTAAAATCAGGGTGGGATTCACGGGGAGTGAAAAACACTTCCAGTGCCTCCCTTGAGCTTGCCTAGTCATAAAAGTCAGGGGAGAATTCTGACAGCAGAGCACCTGAGATCCAGGGGGAGGATGTGCTTTGTCTGGTGAATATAAAAGAGCACAGATTGAGTATCTCCTGGAGACATGCAGACCTTCCAGAAATCCTTCCTGTAATGCAGTCATATTCATCTGACTGTATTAGGTGTCTCTGGTTCTGAGTCATCTATAACATGACATCCTTAGGTGGCCCACTTGTCTGATAGTTCAGTGTAGTGCTGGGGAAGCACCAGATTTGACTTTCTAATTTCCTGAAGGAAAAGACTTCTTTCACAACTATCCAAAAGCTGTTAGTATATGCCTCACACTGAACATTTTTAAAAAATTTTGTGGTTATTTCCTAGAATTGTGGTATTTTAATATAATATAGACCAAAAAGTTATTAGGAAACTAGCTACTTCTAGGTGGTAAGGAGATACATAAGAGTGCTTTATAGATGTGATGTGCTGGTCCTGATTTCAGGTATTAATTGAAGAAACAGATCAATTATGGAAAGTTCATTGTCACCGAGACTTTAAAGAAGAAAGGCCAGAAGAGTATGAGTCATGGCGGGAGATGTACCTGCGGCTTCAGGATGCCCGAGAGCAGCGGTTACGAGTACTAACAAAGAATATCCGATCTGCACATGCTAATAAACCCAAAGGTAAAGGAAAAGATTGCCAAGTGATGCTGTGGTCTGTAACAGGGTTTTGGTGTGCCCAGAGGATGTAGGACTACTGGCCCCTAAGTGTCTCTTGCCTCTGCAGGTGGACAGGGATGGGCATTTCTTCTGCCACAGTATATGTTGCCCTACAGGGGGGTTGTTGGGACTGATAATCTCCTAGTACTTGAAAGCCTATAGATGATTACTATTATTATTATTATTATTGTGCTGGAGTTTGAACTCAGGGCCTCATGCTTGCTAGACAGGCACGCTACCACTTGAGCCACTCCACCAGCCCTTTTTTTGGGTTGTATGTGTTTGAGATAAGGTTTCGCTTTTTGCCCAGGCTGACACTGAACCTCGATCCTCCTGATCTCTGCCTCCCTCCCAATTAGGTAGGATTACAGGTGTGAGCCACTGGCTCCTGGCAAGAGCTTACAGATTATTTAAGTAGCAGCAGTGTCTCTGCTTAAGAAAGCAGATAGTAACATTCATGTTCCTCCATAGGCCGGCAAGCAAAGATGGCCTTCGTCAACTCTGTGGCCAAGCCACCTCGTGATGTCCGACGGAGGCAGGAGAAGTTTGGAACAGGAGGGGCAGCAGTCCCTGAGAAAGTCAGGTAAGATCTCTGCTCCTGTTTAGTCTTTGCCTGCCCAGGGAAGAGAACCAGGAGCTTGTCATCATCACCCTAAGGGAGTTGTACAGCAGTAAGTAACTCATTTTGGGGGTGAAGGGAGGCAGTGTGTAATGTGGCTTCTGGGGACAGAAATGCCAGTGCTGTACTTCACCTCCCTGGGCCATAGCTTCATGGGCTGCAGTGAAGGGTGGATGATGATTCCTGTCTCCTGGTTGGGGACCAAGGTCCATTAAGTGGAGAACAGGGCCTGGCTTATAGGACATGTTCCCTTATACTTTCCCTTTTCCTATTTAAACAGAAAACAGATGTCTGGGATGACTAGATTATTTCTTTGAATTCAGGCTGACACTGTTGCCCCTGAGCCACCACCAGAACCCAGGTGCCAGGTCCACTGCTTAAAGTCACACCACAAGTCATCCTGCAAGAGGCCAGCTCTAGCCTGTCCATATGGAGGCAGATTTCTCCGATTTGCAGTTAACCAGCTTTGCTCTGTGTTACAGGATTAAGCCAGCTCCATACACGACAGGAAGCAGCCATGTTCCCGCCAGCAGCAGCAACAACTTTAACGCCAGTCCTGAGGAGCCCACCTATGATGGCCCCAGCACCAGCAGTGCCCACTTGGCACCGGTGGTCAGCAGCACTGTTTTCTATGATCCTAGGAAACCAGCTGTGAAAAGTAAGTAACTTGGATGTCTGCTCAGATATTCAAAATTTTTTAAAAATTCCCCTTGAATGTTATTGCATTTTGTGAGTTGGACGTAGCATCTGTAGGATACCTGGCATCTGCTGGTCAAAAAGTCAGCCCCTCCTTTCCCCTGCTGTGTCCATGGTGACATGTATCTTTGCAGTTATGATCATAGTGAATGTGTGAATGTTCTTTTTTTCTTTTTTTTTTTTTTTTTTGTGGCACAGGGGCTTGAACTCAGGGGCCTCACCTTGAGCCACTCCACCAGCCCTTTTTTTTGTGATGGCTTTTTTCAAGATAGGGTCTTGTGAACTTTTTGCCCAGGCTAGCTTCGAACAGTAATCTTCCTGATCTCTGCCTCCTGAGTAGCTAGGATTATAGGTGTAAGCCACTGGTGCCTGGTGTGAATGTTTTTTGACACTGCTTTTTCACCTAAATGTAAACTTGTTTTTCTAGGCAGTGACACAGGCTTCATGATCATTAACAGCTAAATGATAGTCCATCTTTCTGAGGTTTTATAACCTTACAGTAATCTGGGTGCTGGTAGCTCATAGCTGTAATCCTAGCTACTAGGGAGGCTGAGATTGGGAGGAACACAGTTGGTGACCAGCCTGAGCAAATAGTTTGTAAGACCCCATCTCCAAAATAACCAGAGAAAAATGGACTAAAGGTGTGATTCAAGCAGTAGGGAATCTGCTTTGCAAACACAAAGCCCTGAGTTCAAAACCCAGTCCCACCAAAAAAAAAAAAAATATATATATATATGTTATATGTTTACAAAATATATGTACATATATATATATATAAGATAGTGCTAGCCTCCAAATGTTTTTCGTATTTGTTTGGGTCTATTTGATGTGTTACTAGTTTTATTACTATATACTATCCTCAGGGGTTTCTAGCTTGAGAGAAGTATTATTGTGTTGCTGTTGCAGGACCCATGGAGGGGTGGGAGTCCCGACATAGAATCAGATGTGACCCCGTTAATCCAAGGTGGCCCTTCTAGGGCAGATTTGGGGAGGGATGCTATTTGCTGAATCAGAGGTTTGTGATGCAGAATTAGATGTGGTGAGTATGGCCCTTAGAGTTAGCAAAGATTGAATTCTGGATCTGCTACTTACTACATACCCACTGGTACATTGGCCAGGCTTCCTGAGCTGTGGTGCTGGTGGTTAGAATTGGGAATGGTGCTAGTTTATGCACTGGACCAGGGTCTCAGCAAGAGTCTGTTGCTTTTATTGCAGTGTTAGAAGATACTTCTGGCTTGTATTTCTGTCTGGTGGTGCATAGCCAAGAGCAGTAAGACTTGGTTTGGCTTTGACTCGAGACCACCATGGTGGGTGTCTGAGTTGCCACTGGTATAAAACAAGTGCCTTGTTTCTCTTCACAGAAATTGCCCCGATGATGGCCAAGACAATTAAAGCTTTCAAGAATAGATTCTCCCGACGATAAACTGAGCACTTGCCTTGGAGATGAAATTTGGGGAGCAGGAATACAGGGACAATGGGGGCTAGGGAAGGGGCCTTCCAAAGGAGACCGGGATCTTTTACTTTGTGGAACCTTTTGGTCTCTGCAACCTGCATCTGCAGGGGTCTTCCCTGTGTGCCACAGCCCCGCGCCCTGCTTGGAGCACACTTCAGATTTCTGAAGACGATGTGAAGCCTCAGTCTTACTGAGGATTTTAAGGTCAATTATTCTTTTGTTGCTAATTAGCATCTTTGTAAACGATAAGGCATAGTTTTAATTAATAAATATTGCCCCCAGATTGTATTTATATTACCCCCCAGGTTTTTTTGTTTGTTTTGGGTTTTTTTTGTCCTCTACCACACACTAGCCTTTTATTTTTCAGGTCCTTTATTAAAGTTAGATGAAAGCCTAGTGAAGCCATTCTCTGTTCCAGGTCAGCTCTCCTAAGTGGACTCTGGTCCAGAGGGGAGGACAGGGCATCCCCAGAGCCTGTGTGCACATAGGGCAGGAGTGAGTGCCAGCCTGCCTGTCCTCAATGGGAGCCTGGCACAGAGACGTCAGTGTTCAGGGCTCCTTGCTTTGAGACTCTCTTCCATGCTCCGAGTTCCTATACAGGCGCATCTCTTTCCCACCCATTCAATAGTATTTATTAAGGGAGGCTATTTGTAAAATCCAGCATCCTTCACAATCTTCTTTACAAGTTACCTCTTCTCCCTTTTTTAAAGGCTTACTAGAGGACACAGAACCTTGAGAGATCAATTTGCACTTAATTTCAGCAATTATATAATTTCTAGTTTCTGGTTCAGATTTTAGATGTTCTCCCTTCCCTGTCTTTTCCTTCCACCTACCAGCATGGGGAAAAACAGACACGGCAGGGCCTTTTGTAGCTCTGAATACAACTTTGGAGTTTTAAAAAGCCAGCACTTTAATCTCTCATTCCCTATCAATTGCTACTAGAAATGAATGGTTTTAAAAGTTGTGATGCTGTTGTTGGAAACTGCTTTTGTTTTTGCCTTTTCTTTGAAAGATCATGTAACTGGAAAAGCACAACAGTTTGCTGTGTCTATAGAGAACTTTGCAGCTGAGGTCAACCTTCTGAGTGTGTAAGAAGCAATTGGAGGAAAGAGCCACCTTGGGAAGGTGTCTGAGCTGTGCGTCAGGAGGGGGACCAGGTGTGGGGGTGGGCTTCCATCCAGTTTGTGAAAGGAGGCTTCACTTTCTAGTTGACACAGAAGTAAGATCAAAACTAGCAGGGCAGTGCCAGCAACTTCCTGGCTGTCAATCATGCAGCTAGTAGGAACCGCTTGGTTGACACCCGGGTAGAAGTAGATGCTATGAACCTCTGGTGTGCAAAGCAGATGGAAGGGAGCAGTGGCTAGAGTAGGAAACAGACAGCCTGCTAAGCCTGGCTGTCAGCCCCTCCACAAGTTCTCAGAACCCGGAGCGCAGAGCCCACTGTGTCAGCCATCCTGGAGACCTCACTTAGGCTAACCTTGAAGACTCCAGGGCCACACAGGAAAGCCACACAGCTAAAAGCTCTGCATTCCTCAGTGTGTGTTGCTGTGCAAGGGGGCCTGTTACACTGGGACGCAAATACTGCAGTGTTTAATTGACTGCATTTTTGAATTGGATAAAGCATTATTTCTCTTGATTGCTTATTCTACATTACTCCTCTCTCTCTCCCAGCCTGATGCCCTGAATCCAAATGAACTGATCAGGGTATAACACCTATTGCCTAAAACAGTTTCCTCTAGGTGTTGCCACTTTGGAGTCATCTCTTAGCTATATTTCCAAGTCTCTGTCATAGAACCATTTTTTTCTATTTCAGATTCAGTTGTGTGCGATTTAATTCCCCTTAGTAGGCGTCTTTAGGTGGGAAGAGAAGAAAGGACACACATCCCAACATTAACATCCTGTTTGCATAGAGCCCGAGCTTCCTCTGCCCCCTCCAAGAGTGCTGCATCAGGGATGTGACTTGGTGAGAAGGCTAAGGGGGGGCAGAGGAAATATTAAATTCCCATACACCCTGCTCACCTAGCTTACTGAAATGGCTGCAGAGCAGATACACACACACACAATGATGTTGAACTTTTGGTTGCATATGTGAAAACTTGTGCAATTTTTCCTGTGCTACACTACATAGAAATCACCAAATTACAGATTAGCCCTTTGTGATCCCTGGTGTAATGAGCAGGTTCTCTGGGGCTTTCTCTTTCTTTCTTGAAGGTGGGAGGGACAGGAGCAAGGCATTGTCCTGCTCTTCATTTGTATTTTGGTCCCAAAATGTAAATACAATTTTCTATGTTACTTTTTTGTGGTAACTATGAAGATGAATATTTTAATTAGATAAGTTATACAAAAAGGAAAATTCCATGTCTAAATAAAAAGCAAAAAATTCTACCAATTGAGTCTTCCTTATTTTGTCAGAGAATAGAAGTCAGTCACAAAATATCTTCCTGGGCTGAGGCAGAGATCTTAGTCTTGGGGCCCATCCTCAAAGGATGTTGGGTTTTTATTGGATGGTATAGTAGGACTAGGGAGGGGAGTTTCAGGGACAGAGAACCCAGAGAGCAAAAGTTGGGGACTCAGATGTAAGGAGCACTTGTTGGGGACTTGTTATATGTAAAAGGCTGGGGGCTGAGCTAGTAAACCCACTGCACAATCAGAAACTGTGGCCAAAAGGTGGGGGGGTTTGAAACTCAGGTTCTCTGACTGCAAGATTTGTGCCTCCTCCTCCCCCTCCCCCAGCATTCAGTCTGTCCCTGGGGATGTGAAGGGCACAGGTGTCACCTCAGTCTTTCATTGGCACCCTAATGAGATCATAAAGAACATTTATCACAGGAAGGCCTGTCAGCAGGCTGGGAGTCTCAGCATTTGCTAATGGAGCGAAGAACTTAGCTTCAACCCCTGCATCCATTGAGTGGGCTGGACTGTACACCAAATCTTTATCTCACAGTGACATGGTTTTATTAGCCCTCTGCTAAAGAGGGTATTCTCAGCATGTGTTCTGGACTTGTTTTTCCTAATTCTGTACTGGATCTACAGAAATCGCACTGAAGTTAATTATGAAACATGGTAATCTGTTCTTTTGGTTTTTTTTCTTTGTTACTAGAACATGATAATCTGATAGATGATTGTACCTTGGTAGGAGATTATACCTGGAGTTTGTAAGTTAGTCCTTTGTCTATGAATTCAACACTTGGCTGAGCTGGGACCTGTGTTAAACTCTGAGATACAGAGTAACACACAAGCCTGGTGCTCACAGTCAGGGAGGACAAATGAGACCTTATTATATACCTGCTAGTTCCATCTTGCATACGTGGTCTCACAATAATCCTGATAGGTAAGTAGTTGGTCATGCCCACCCTACCCCGCCCTTTTTTTTTAATAGCACTGTGATTTTAACTCAGCCTTGCACTTGCCAGGAAAGCACTGCCACTTTGAGGCATGCCTCAGCATGGCCCCATTTTAAAAATAAGAAAATGGAGGCCCAGAAAGATTGAGAACTGGCCCAAGGTCACATGATCTTGGGGGCAATAGAGCTATATATTGGTCTGACTCCAAAGCACATGTTCTGTCACATCTGCCATCTCAAAAATGTACATGTCCAGTTAGGCTTCTGCAGCAATGTCAACAAAGATGTCTTGGGCTGGGTGCTCATGCCTAGCTACCCAGGGGTCAGAGATCAGGAGGATCGTGGTTCAAAGACAGGCTGAGCTGAGATCATGAGACCGTATCTTGAAAATAACCAACACACAGGCTGGTGGAGGGGCTCAAATGGTAGAGCACCTGCCTAGCAAGCATAAGACCCTGAGTTCCCCAGTACTGCAAAAAAATAGAAGTGACTGGCTTTGGCCAAGGCATCTTTAATGATCCTTCTGAGTGCTGCACATAACTGGTCTGCTGCCTGGCAGGTCCTCTGTGTAGCTTAGCACCTTATAGATGCCTCATCACAGGGTCCTTCGTCCCTCTGAATCTCCCTAGTTATTTGACTAAATGGAGAAATAGCTTGTCTTCAGAGGCTTCTGAACTTCTATTTCTGTGATGCTTACTGCCTCGACGCTTTTCAAAGACCAAAGTTTTAGACCTCCACATTTTATATAGCTACAGCTGTTTCTCAAGCATAGACTCTCTGGGGTTGGGACCCCAGAGTGTGCATTTAAAAAAAAAACCCAGCCAGATGTTGGTGGCTCAGGCCTGTTATCCTAGGTACTCAGGAGGCAGAGATCAGGAGGTTTGTGGTTCAAATCAAGCCAAATAGTTCTCAAGACCCTATCTTGAAAAATCCCATCACAAAAAGGGCTGGTGGAGTGGCTCAAGGGGTAGGCCCTGATTGAGTTCAAGCACCAATACCACAAAAAATAAAAACAACAACAACAAAAAAACCGAAGTGTGGATTGAATGTGCCCACCCACCCAGTTCTTATGTGGAAATCCTAAGCTCTGGTGTGATGGTGTTAGGAGGTAATTAGGTCATGAAGGTGGAGATTTTGTGAATGGGATTTGACCTTCTAAGAAGAGAAATATAGCTGGGTGGTGGATCACTTGAGTCCAGGAGTTCAAGGCCAGATAAGGCAACAGTGAGTCCCTGTCTCAAAAACAAACAACAAAAATCCCACATTTTTCTTAGAAGTTTGAAGCCCTCAGGAGGCTGAAGCAGGAGGATGGAGAGTTGGAGGCCAGTCTGGGCTACACTGTGAGATCCTGTCTCAAAAGACTTTTTCTAAACTTCAGTGACAATTTCCCCAGTTTTTAAACTTTATACAAAAACTAAATGTAATAAACCAGAAAACCTATATGAAGCAAACAATTTTCTAGAAAAATATAACTTACTGAAATTGACCCCTATAGAGTTGGCAAGTCTAAATGGACTAATTAGAGCCTCCCTCATAAGAAAGCTTCAGGCCCAGATGATCTCAGGGGAAATCTTTCAGCCTTCACAGATCAGGTAATCCCAATGCCACCTACCATCCCAAGCAACGAAAAACAAGAAAAATGCTACAAAAGCCAGAATAGCATTGATACGAAACTGGATAAAAATTGCACCAAAAAATAAAATTACAGGCCAGTCTTAAAAATATTCATGTGAATAGTGTAAATCTTAGCAGAATCTAACAGCACAAGCAAGCCAGGTACCCATGGCTCACACCTGTAAAAATCCTAGCTACTCAGGAGGCAGAGATCAGGAGGATCATAGTTTGAAGCCAGTCCCAGGAAAACAGTTCAAGAGATCCTATCTCGAAAAAACTAATCACGAAACAGGGCTGTCAGAGTGGTTCAAGTGGTAGAGCACCCGCCTAGCAAGCATGAAGC